TGGAAAATGTTGGTGTAATATTGCTGTTACTGCTTTCATGAATGTTTGATGGAATCCATTGGTAAACTCAATCTCAACATGGAATCTTTTATGGGAAAATGTGTGATAATAAATTCAGTTCTTTTATATTTTTTGCAGCTTTACCAAGGTATGCCTGACCAATAAATGCTGTGTATATTTAATGCAGACCGTGCGATATTTTGACATACATATACTGTGAAATAATGAGCATAATCAAGCTAATTAATGTGTGTATTGCTTTACATACTTTCCCATTTTTATTATTTTGTGTTGTGTAACATTTCCGTCACTATTATAAATATCTCAATCAACATATGAAGAGAAAAGATTACTTAGGCTCACAATTTTGAAGCTTCTACATCCATAATCAGCCCCATGCAAGCTTTGGCCCAGGAGTGCACAGTGAAACAAATCCTGTTCACACGTGGCCTAGCAGCAAAGGAGAGAAAGAGGTAGGCACTAGGGTCCCACAGGTCCCCTCAAGTGCAGGCCCCCAGTGACCTAAGGACCTCCCACAAGGTCTCCAATAAGTCTGCCCTAGGTACCATGTGTTTAACAAGGATCTGCTGGGACATTTGTTCTAACCACAGAATGTATAGAAAACACTTCAGATCAATTCATTTAGCAAATTTCAAGTACTGAAATAAACACCGCATTATTTTAATTTATTTTATTTATTAATTTTTGGTACCGGGGATCAAACTCGGGTCCTTGTGCTTTCGAAGTAGGCAGTGGAACCACTGAGCTAAATCCCCGGCCCAGCATTATTAACTCTTCTCACCTGCTGTACCTTCAGTTGCCAGGACTCATTCTAGAAACTGAGCCACTATGTCCTTTGATCAACATCCCTCACCCGCAGCTCCCAAAAGTGACCACTCTACCCTGGTTTCTATGATTTTGACATTTTGAGGTTGCATTGTGTGAGATTATGCATTATTTGTCTAAATCTGGATTATTTAATTAGGATAAATAATATCCTCCAGATTCGTCCATGTGGTTATGAACAGTAGAATTTCTCCAGGTTGGATGGATGGTTGGATAGATAGATAGATTTCACATTTTTTTTTCCATTCATGACAAACTTTAGTTTTTGTGTGTGTCTTAGCTATTTTTAATAAAACTGCAAAGATCATGATCTCTTCAAGATATTGATTTTACTCCCTTTGATATATAACCAAAAATGTGATTGCTGAATTATGTGGTAGTTGTATTTTTTAATTTTTTGAGGAAAAAACATCCTGTCTTCCATAATGTACCACTGTACATTCCCATCCACAGTGCACAATATCTTGGCCAACATTGGCCATCTTTCTTCTTTTTTATAATAGACATTCTTTCGAGTGTAAGCTGATACCTTACTGTGGGAAACCCATTTTCAATCAGATTTTTCTTATTGTTGTTGAGTTGTTTGAGTTCCTTATGTATTTTTAGATATTTACCCCTGATCAGATACACAGTTTGGAAAAAATTTTCTCCCTTTCTGTAGGTTGCCTTTGCACTCTGTGAAGTTTATCCCTTTGTTATGTAAAAATTGGACCTTTCTCTTCACATCAGATATAAAAATCAACTGAAAATAGATTAAAGACTTAAGCATAAGACCTGAAACAGTAAATCCCATAGAACAAAACATAAGGGAAAAGCTTTTGAATTTGGTCTGCTCAGTGATGTTTCAGATATAACAGACAGCAAAGTATACAAGTGGGACTGAATCAAAAAAGGCTCTGTATAGCAAAAGAAGCAATGGATAGAATAAAAAGGAAATGTTGAAAATGAAATTATTTTACTATGTATAAGACTATTCATATATTTTATTTTTTCTTGATCAGTTTTAAAATATTGTATTTTTGGGAAATTTCATCTTAGATGTAAAGTTTTTGAAATAAAAACACTCATAATACTTCCTTAGTGTTATAATATTATGTATTATTATGCTTTATTATCATTGTTACTATTTAATATTTATGATAAATATGCTTTATTCTTTTAGATGTATTGTTATTTTGTAAGACACATATTATATAATGTTACATACCTAATACTGATTACTTGACTTCATTAGTTATTTTTGTTCTAGATTTATCAATTTTATCATTTTAAAGAATCCATTCATGGACTTATTCATTTTCTTTATGTTTATATCTCTATTTCTTTTTTTGCCCTTTGCTCTTATCTTTATTATTTCCTTCAACTTTGGGTTTCTTTTCTATTTCTGTAAGATGGAAGCAAATAACTAGTGTTAAACCTTTTCTAATATAGAGTAGACATTTAAAACTATAAATTTGTTCATAGTGCTGCTTTAGCTGCACCCTAAAGTTTGAAATGTTATATTTTACATCTTCATTAGCTTGGTAATAAATTAAACTTATCATGTGATTTTCATTAACTCATGAGCTATTTAGAAAATTGTTTTAAGGTATTTAGAGATTTTCAAGATATATCATTTATAGTGATTTCTAATTTAATTCCATTATAACCAGATGACAACTCTCAAAATGGAAATAGTTTCAGTTGCACTGACACTCATTTTATGACTGAGAATATGAGTCCCTTAGGCAGCTGATCACATGTATGTGAAAATAATAGGTATTTTGCAGCTGCTCGATGTAATTCTATAAGCATCAATTATATGGGGGGGTGTATTGTTATCTGAATCTTTTACATCTTTGTCAAAGCTTGTTTTTCTATTATTAAGAGAGAAATGTTAAAATTCTATTGTGGATTTGTCCATCTTTCCCCTATTTCTGTTATTTTTTTCTTCGTGAATTTCATAGCTCTATGATTAAAGGCACACATATTTAGGATACTTCTATCTTGCTAGGGAGTTAATCTTGTAATCATTATGTAACTTTCTCCTGTAACATTCTTTGTCTTTAAATCTGCTTTGCCTGAAATTGACATAGTCAAGCCAACTTTCTTAGGGTTATTGTTTCCTTAGTATAACTTTTCCATCTTTTTACGTTCAACCAGTCTTGTGCTTTTTGTTTAAAATGTGTCTCCTATAGACAAGGAATTTAATGTTACTGTTTCTCCCCCATCAAAGCATCTGTCTTTTATGTCAGGTGAGTAATACATCTAGATTTGATCCCAATATTGATAAGCTGAGGTTTACATCTGACATCTTCTCCTTTGATAGCCATCTGTTCATCTTTTTTGGGAGGGGTGTTCGTTTTACTCTACTTGTTAATTTCCTACATTGTTTGGGGTTTGCAAATGTTGTAGGGCTGTATTTTATTTTGTCATATGTTGTTATGTTTTTAATATTTTTGGTGGTTAATGTAGGACTTTAAGTCTCTAAAATGACTATAATACTTCTTTACACTGAAGCATCTGGTATCTTATCCTTCACATCTGATGTTTTATACTTCTATTTTATGATAAAATATTCTTATCACACTTTATTTACCTCCTCATATCATTTCAGCAGCGTTTCTCTTACTTTTTTTCATCTCTGTATATGGTAAATGACACTGTCAGGTCATTATTTATATTTAAAATAATTACTTTTCTTGTACATCTAAAGTGTGAAAAAAGAGAGATTTATATTTACATACTCATTTCCAGTGTCTAATATCCTGTGTTCCATACATGCAGATCTAAGTTTTCATTTTACTTCATACCCTTAGGACTGAATGATATATTTTTTATTTATTATGCTGTAAACATGCTAGCAAAATTTCTAAGGTTTTTTAGGGGGGATATCTGAAAATATCTTTATTCTATTACCATTTTCAGTGGCTAACTTGGTGGACATAGAATTTTTTCCTTATTTTAAAAGGACAATAAAATTATCTCATCCTTTGTTTTTTGGGTAAAAAATCAGCAGTTAATTATGCTTATCCTTTCTGCCCCTAGGTGTAGTGTATTTTCAAAATGGCAGCTTTCAGAATTTTCTCAGCTTTTGGTTCTCAGAAATTCAGCTGAATGGTTTACTTTTTATTTACTTGAGATTAACTAAGTGTTTTTGTTTTGTTTTATTTGTTTGTTTAATACACTGTGCCCATTACCGTTGTTTTCTCCTTCTGGGAATGCAATAACAAGTATCTAAAACAATAACTTCTCACAGTTTTGTAACTCCTGTTCCCTTACACTATTTAAAATTTCAAGAACCCCAAAGAATGTTTGATTCTGTTGTTCTATCTATTCATATTTACTATATTAAAATAAAAACTGGAAATATTTTTAAAGTATTTACTCATTGATACAAAGAAAAATAGTAAGAAAATACCTTTTCATACAAATAACATAGTTTTCATGAAAATATTCAAACATTTTAGTGTGAAGAACACATATATTTGACAGTGCTTTTTCTGGATTATCAGAGGACAGGCTCTGCATTTGGTCTGTTCTGACTGCATTCATTCAGCATCTGGAAAGCTCTGCTGTACATCCACAAAAGAATGGCTGTGTGGAAAAGGTAAGTCATATCTTACTATTATCATCTTTAGTATTACAGACTTTCTAAATTGTCTCGGGGACTTTCATACATTGAAAACTGTTATTGTGTGATTTAGGATTTTCACATAAGTCCCTAAGTCTCTGCTTTTTTCAGAGTTTTGCTCTATACATTTGATTGGACCGTGTTGACTGATTTTTAAACAAGACAAGTTTCTTGTCTCCTCACAATCTTCTGCGAAACTTGTCTGTCGTACTTTTTAAATGTAGCTAAAATTGTCAGTTCTAGGATTTCCAATTGATGTTTTGTAGTTTATATTTCCCTGCTCAAATTCTTTATTCTTTTCTCTCATTAAGACAGTATTTTCCTTTAACTTTTTGGAAAATAATCTTAATTGTTCCTTGGTCCTTTAAAACCTTGCTAACTCCAACAGTAGTCCATCTCACATTTAGTTCCTATTGCCTTCATTGTCTTTATCCCTGAATCACATTTTTATCATTCTTTCTAGTGATATTTAATTGAATACTTCATATTCTAGGTTACCTCTTATAGAAAATTTAAATTCTATTATCTTCCTTTATGAATCTTCCTGTCGCCCATGTGCATCGGGGAGGTGGCGCATGTCAGCGCCGAGATCACCTACACCTCCAGGCACTCTGTGGAAGTCCAGGTCAACGTGATGTCCGAAAACATCCTCACAGGAACCAAAAAGCTGACCAATAAGGCCACCCTGTGGTACGTGCCCCTGTCCCTGAAGAACGTGGACAAGGTCCTCGAAGTGCCTCCTGTCGTGTATTCCCGGCAGGAGCAGGAAGAGGAGGGCCGGAAGCGGTACGAAGCTCAGAAACTGGAACGCATGGAGACCAAGTGGAGGAACGGGGACATCGTACAGCCCATCTTGAACCCCGAGCCCAACACCGTGAGCTACAGCCAGTCAAGCCTGATCCACCTGGTGGGGCCCTCGGACTGCACCCTGCATGGCTTCGTGCATGGAGGGGTCACCATGAAGCTCATGGATGAGGTGGCCGGAATCGTGGCTGCACGCCATTGCAAGACCAACATAGTCACAGCTTCTGTGGACGCCATTAATTTTCACAACAAGATCCGTAAAGGTTGTGTCATTACCATCTCTGGCCGTATGACCTTCACGAGCAACAAGTCCATGGAGATCGAGGTGCTGGTGGACGCCGACCCTGTGGTGGATAACTCGCAGAAGCGCTACCGGGCCGCCAGCGCCTTCTTCACCTACGTGTCGCTGAGCCAGGAGGGAAAGCCCCTCCCTGTGCCGCAGCTGGTGTTTTAAGAGCGGCAGGGCCAGGTGGAGCCTCAGCCCTAGAAGCCCCCCTCACGCCTGGGGCCCCGAACAGCCTTTATTATCTTAAGAAGCAGCTAAATTGCTAGAAGATCATCTTGAGTTTATATATGATTGGTATATGCTTTCTTAATTCAGAACTATGGAAAGCTCATGGTATTTGCCAAGCTCTCTAACTTGGCAGGACTTTAACTCGGCAGGGCCAGGTGGAGCCTCAGCCCTAGAAGCCCCCCTCACGCCTGGGGCCCCGAACAGCCTTTATTATCTTAAGAAGCAGCTAAATTGCTAGAAGATCATCTTGAGTTTATATATGATTGGTATATGCTTTCTTAATTCAGAACTATGGAAAGCTCATGGTATTTGCCAAGCTCTCTAACTTGGCAGGACTTTAACTCCAAATTCTCTATGCTGGGGATTTTGTCGGAGCTCAAATTTAGACTTTGTTAGAGCTGATTTAAATTAGTTCTCCTCCCTAAGACACAACTTGTCCAGTTCAAAGGATTCCTGGAATGTAAATAAAATGCTGCAGAGATGTCTTTATTCTGATAGAAGCAAAAATCCAATATCAAGTATCCACAGCACTGCTCTTCTTCCAACACTGTTCAGCCCCTGTGATCTTTCTTCTGGCTTCAGTCCCCTAACAGCTACGTTTTGGTAAGCACGGGGTAATCCCTATACACATGCAGACTGGACTTTGGCCATGGATTTGTATGGGTTCCCACACACACACAGCTCCCTTTCTTTAATGCTCCACCTTGCCGAGTCCAGGCACTTGAGATGGCCCAACCCTGATGCCTGTCTCTGCAGTTCAGCATGACTGCCATGCTCTGCTCAGACATCAGCTGGCTGTGCTGACAGTGCAGTTCACATTAGTAACCCCTGCAGATGAATGAATGACCAGGGGCCTCATCTCGTCCATTTCCTCTCTCTTTGGTATTGACTATTTTGTATTGACTTAAATACGTTTTCATATATTGTGTCTGGCTTAGGCCTGTTTATGGCAAAAGAATCAGTTTGGAGCCAGTTATACCATCATAGTTCCAAGTCAGAATTTTCCATTTTAAAAATATTGATGACAAAACTTGAAAAAGTTAAATACCATCAGAGCCAAACAAAACACAATGACCACCTATGTCATAAGCCATCTGTTTGAGACTCCTGGTCTACCCACTTGCTTTCCAAAATGTGGTCTTTAGAAGAACAATATGAGGGTCACTCGAGAGACCAAAGGAAATGCAGAATCTTAGGTCCCATCCCAGACAAAGAGATTCAGATTCTACAACTTAACAAGATAAATGGGTACCATACTCACGGACATTTTTACAAATCTGACTATAAGTTTCAGCATTACCTGTGTAGTATTTCCCAAAATAATGCAAGCAATCACCTGAAGTATGTTTTAATCCACATATTTCTAGGTGCTATTCCACTAAATTAGAATTACTAAGATGTTAATTCTTATCACTGGGGACATTTGGAGAATATTGAGCTATCTTATAAAGCTGCAAGGCTCATCAGACCCACATGTCTCATTCAAATTAGGCAACATGCCCTATAGTACCATCCTGGCTTGACTCCTAGCAGACAATTACTCAAAGGGCTTAACTCACATAAATAATTGCAAAGGTAAGTTCATTTTCTCAAGTAATTTTTAGACCATATTTTTGAAATGTCTTAGTACCGTAGCTAGTCAGCTAGTGACTTTCATATGTGGCAACTCTTCCAACTTTCTCTTAAAATGTGCCTCTTCCTGTCTCCCAAGCTTTTCTGGAGTGATGGAACCAATGTTTGCCACATAGGCAAACAAATAGATGGGGTGGGGTGAAGGGGGACATATTAGAGAATTGGTTCATACAATTACAGAAGCTGAAAAGTCCCATCATAGGCCATTTGCACTCTTGGGTGCTAGTGGCATGACTCCTAGAAAGACTCAGAGTAATGGAAGTAAACAATACAATGCCCAGTTTAAGATCAAAGGCTGAGAACTCAGGGGCCACTGGTGCAAAGGCTGAAATCCAAAGGCCAGGGTACCTGCAGTTTTCATGTCCAAGGGCTGGAGAACTAGGGTGTTCTTGCTCTAGAAGAGAAAGAAAATGTGCTTCTCTACTGCATTTTGTCCTATCTGGACTCCCAGATACCGTACTTGGATAGTGTGCATTTACAGCAATGGCAGATCTTCCCTGTTGAGTACACTGACCCATGCTAATCCCCTCTAGAAACACACACACAGATGCACACAGAAATAACACTCTGCCAGCTGTCTAAGTATTCTTTACCCTAGTCAAGTTTACCATCACAGCTCTCCTAATCCAACCTATGAAGTCGTCAATAAAACTACGGGTGTCCCTGCATCTGCAGATAAAGCTGTTAACCATTTATTTTTTATGGATTGAGAAATACAGTATTTTATATTTGTAATTTATGGACTATTCTCCACTACACTTAGAGGACCACGAGATCAATTTCTATAACCTGACCTTAGCACAATACATGGTACACAGTACATAGCGCATGGTACAAAGTACAGGGTACATGGCATAGCACAATTCTTTGGTAGCTAGTAGATTTCTAATCAGTACTATTACCCCATGATCATACTCTTACCCACTTATAAATACTACTTAAAACAAGCCTGTGACATTTTTGCCCTCGTCACTCCTATCATCTATCTACTCACCCCCGGGTAGACTGAGTCTCTACCATCATATCAGACATCCTCTCGTATATCATATAATGCCCTGAACTTCCCCGGGTCAGAGGGAGGTGAGCACCAGGGGCTGGTATTATAGCAGTAACTGCCCTGCTGCCCGCATAAGGGATTAGTCATCTCAAATAGCAGAAGCAGAGGTGGTGGGAGCAGAAGCATGTCCCACCGACACAGGATACCATCCTTGGGGGCTCTGGGCCTCCCTTGCCAAGGTCAGGCTTGTTCAAATGATACAGGGGAGCAGCTATGTGGTGAGCACCAAGCAATGGGAATGGAGCTGGATTCCCTCTCCATGACCTTAGGGAGCTTATTTAGCCTTGCTGGTTCTGTTTTCCTTATCTGCATTTGGAAACTTGATGTGTCTGTATTCAATCATGATTGCTTATGTGTAATTGTAATGCATGTGTAGGGTCACTGCTCGCATGGCTGGTTGCCCTGCCCTGGGAGTTATGTCCCTCACAAAGCCACTTTGGAGTAGAACTGAGCTTTGGACCTAAAACATGCATAACTTTGGACCCAAGATTTCACTCTATTTTTAGAACTGTATGCTAAGAAAATAATCAATGATAGAGTCAAATATTTGCATTCAGGAATATTGTTTGAAACTTTATTTATAACAATGACAATATAAAATCAGACTATATCTGACTATGGAGGGTTGCCTAAATTATGATCTATCCACATGATGAGATATTATATAGTCATTTAAAATCTTATAAAGAAAATTTAATGGCACTGGAAAATGCTCACAATATAAAGCACCCAAATAAATGCTCTATATAATTTTGTTATATGTGTATGAAGAATATAGGAAAATATTCATGGTGGTTACTCTGGATGACAATGTTGATTATGGGTGATTTAAAATTTTTTTTCATCATAATGCTCTACATATTTCAATTGTTACAAGTCAAGGTACAAGAAAAAAATCTTACTTAAAAAATATCTTTGATTTGAGATCTGAAGGCTTGAGTTTAAGTCCAGGTATCAATACCAATGATGTGAACTTAAATAAGAGAAATCTGAAAAATGGGGAAAATTTGCCTCTTTCTTCTCACTGGATGGCTGAGGGGCTGAAATCAGACAATGAGCATGAAAGAGCTATCGGGGATGGGAATGGCAAAAGAGAGATAGATGTACCATCGCTCATGTGAGATGGGCTAGGAAACATGAATTTACTCAAAAGAAATATTGGTGCTAAGAGAATTCTAAGGCTTTTGTTTTTGTTTTCATTTTGGTACCAGGGATCAAACTCAGGACCTTCAGCTTGCAAGGCAGGTAGAATTGTAATGAGGTTACCCTTATCTCCTCCAACACAAGTTGGAAATATATGAAGGGGAGAGAGACAGGAAGAGGGAGGGGAGGAAGAGGAGGAGGAGAAGAAAGGAAAGAAGGAGGGAAAGAAGGAGGGAAGGGAGGGAGGGAGGGAGGAAGGAAGGAAGGAAGGAAGGAAGGAAGGAAGGAAGGAAGGAAGGAAAGGAGGAAGGAAGGGAGGAGGGAAAGAAGGAAGGAAGGGAGGAGGGAAGGAGAGGAGCTCATCCAGAAGTTTCTTCTGCCTGATAATAGCAGTGCCTCTGGGTAGTTAAGACATAAGCTACAACTGATCACTGTACCATCAGACAGGAGCTCTGCACATGTTAGAATCATTGATCCTACACTTTAAGACCTGAAAGATCCCCCAGGGCCAGCCGTCTGCACTACAGAGGATTAGATAGGGTCTCTACCCAAAGCCTGACACTTCAGGGTGTCGGCAGCCTGAAGAGTACATTTCCTATCTTTGACAAAAGGACAGAGGCCGCTGCTGCCCACCCTGAAGATCACAAGGATACACTCAAAAGTCATTGCAGGTGGAGTGACACCAATTGGGACCACTTTGGGATGCAAGATGTGAATGTCCTGCAGCCCACCAGTCCTACCTCTCTGCAGTGACTTGCGGGAGATATTTGCACATGGCATAAGAGGGCAGTGCAGTCTTTTTAAGCACTGCATGTTATTCCAGAGACATGCTAAAGTAATACTCAGGCACAAATCGTTGCATAAAGTAATACCAGACATTCCTTACATTTCAGCATCTCAAGTTGAGCTGCAATGAAATGAATCAGTATGTACCAACATGGAAAATATCCAAGAATTTCTTGGGGGTTTCTTATTTTTAAAAACTAAGTTGCTAATCAGGGTGAAAAGCATCAAACCATTTATATAAAGATAACTCAAAATATTACAGTTTTAATTCTGTGGGTGTATAACAGTACAGAGAATGGTCTGGAAAGATTCACATCAAACT